CCACTTAAACAACTGAGCTAAGGGGCAGGCCCCTTCAATGACCTTTTAAATGGATTCATCTAATATAATTATGTTTTACATAGCCCTACATAACTACTACTTTGAGAACTCTTTATTCTTTATCCAGGACCACACAGCAACTTCTCTGGCTTTCTGGATTATGGTCTTTGTTATTTTCTACATGCTCTGTCTGGAGGTGTTAGAATATTTTGAGTTTGTATAATCGGAAAATATTTTACTTTTAGTTTTCAAGGTATATTTGCTAGGTATAAAATTCAATGAAGCCCGCCTCCCGGGCTCAGCGGGCGCGGCGGCCCCGATAGTCCCACCACCTGCTCCACGCGCAGGCTGAGGCGCCGCGGCCCGCGCCCTCCCGGGAAGGAGGTGGAGGCAGCCGGAGGCAGAGGCGGAGGCGTTGCGGGGAGGAGGGACGGGCAGGCAGTCGAGCCGGCGCTGGGCAGAGGAGCGGGCGGGCTGCCGCAGACTCTTGAGTTGGCTAGAAGAAGAGAAGGAAAAGATAGGATACCTCTGAAGGCCTGCGAGCCAAACAGTGACATGAGCATCAGAAAACCTCATGGTATCACTACGACATCTGGGAATTTTTCAGCAGTGATTTTTGTGGTTGACTTGACTCACCTACACCGCGAACATGCTGGATGATTGAAGCAGCAGGATTAAGTAACGGGGAGAACTGTAAATGGTCTGATATTTTAGCCTTCATCCAGTCTACAAGTGGGAAGCTGGGCCATCAGCTGAGATTGAAGATGTGGGTGGAAGCATTTACAGGTGTGAGAAAAGGTGAACAGTTGTGTGAAATGACCAGTGAAAATGGAGAGAGAGAACGGGCCAAGGAAACAGGAGTTTGGTTTCCAGGCAATTAGGAGTCACCTGAACTTTAAAATGGCTCCAAAAGTTAAATGAAGCTGGAAAAACACATAGATGCAGCATTGAAGACTCTCCAGATGTTTGGGGATAATATTCCAGAGAGAAAATTGATCCCTGTGGATTAACTAACTAGTCATAACGAAGAAAATTAGTCTTAAAACCTTCCGGAAACCTTTTAACTTGAATAAAAGTAAGGAAGACACTGATTTCATGGTAGTATAGCAACCGTCAATAGCCAGTGATTTTGGAAAAGATGATGCCTTGTTTGGTAGCTGCTATGGTAAAGATGTGGCTAGCTGTGATATCAACAGTGAAGACGAAAAAGGTGGAAAAAACAGATCAAAAAGTGAAAGCCTGATGGGTACCTTGAAAAGGCGGCTTTCTTCCAAGCAGAAGCCAAAGGGCAAGGGCAGGACACCGTCTGGAAGCTGTGCTGATGAGGACACCTTCTCTTCTTCCTCAGCACCCATTGTGTTCAAAGATGTCAGAGCGCAGAGGCCAGTCAGGTCTACTTCCCTCCGCAGTCATCACTACAGCCCCACACCCTGGCCTCTCCGGCCCACAAACTCTGAGGAGACTTGCATCAGAATGGAGGTGAGAGTCAAAGCCTTGGTTCACTCTTCCAGCCCAAGTCCTGCATTAAATGGTGTTCGAAAGGATTTTCATGACCTTCAGTCTGAAACCGTATGCCAAGAGCAAAATAATTCTCTTAAGAGTTCTGATTCTCCTAATGGAGACTTGCATCTCCACCTGGATGAACATGTGCCTGTAGTTATTGGACTTATGCCTCAGGACTACATTCAGTATACTGTGCCTTTAGACGAGGGGATGTATCCTTTGGAAGGATCACGTAGCTATTGCCTGGACAGTTCTTCACCCATGGAAGTCTCTACACTTACTCCTCAAGTGGGAGGTAGCTCTTTTGCTGAAGATGAGAATCAGGTAGACCAGGACCTAGTAGTTGCCCCAGAGATCTTTGTGGATCAGTCTGTGAATGGTTTGTTGATTGGCACCACAGGGGTCATGTTGCAGAGCCCCAAAGCAAGTCATGATGATGTCCCTCCACTTTCACCTTTGCTACCTCCAATCCAGAATAATCAAATCCAAAGGAACTTCAGTGGACTCACTAGCACAGATGCCCATGTGGCTGAAAGTGTGCGTTGTCATTTGAATTTTGATCCTAACTCTGCTCCTGGGGTTGCAAGAGCATACGACTCTGTGCAAAGTAGTGGTCCCATGGTTGTGACAAGCCTTACAGAGGAGCTGAAGAAACCTGCAAAACTAGGATGGTACTGGGGACCATCACACGCTGGGAGGCCGAAGGGAAGCTAGCAAACGTGCCAGATGGTTCTTTTCTTGTTCGGGATAGTTCTGATGACCGTTATCTTTTAAGCTTAAGCTTTCATTCCCATGGTAAGACACTTCACACTAGAATTGAGCACTCGAATGGTAGGTTTAGCTTTTATGAACAGCCAGACGTGGAGGGACATACAGCAATAGTGGATCTAATTGAGCATTCAATCAGGGACTCTGAAAATGGAGCTTTTTGTTATTCAAGGTCTCGGTTGCCTGGATCTGCAACTTACCCTGTCAGACTGACCAATCCAGTGTCTCAGTTCATGCAGGTGCGTTCTTTGCAGTACCTGTGTCGTTTTGTTATATGTCAGTATACCAGAATAGACTTGATTCAGAAACTGCCTTTGCCACACAAAATGAAGGATTATTTACAGGAGAAGCACTACTGAAAGGTCGAGAACCCTACATCTTGCACTTTGGGGAAAAATAAAAGAGATTGAAATACAGTTTACAAACTTTCATTGCCATCAGAATACTTTGCTGCCATAACTATTTTAG